CAGACTGCAATCATCTCTCTGATTCACAGTACTTTTAGTTGAAGCTGAAGTTTCCCAATTCCTTCGGGTTGGCTATGCTTAGGATGCTGGTCTGGTGCCCAACCAGCTACCTCATCCTGAAGCTTGACACGTGAACAAACTGGAGCTACTGCATCTGAGTAGGGGCGCAATGACACAGGTCTATTACTTCAAGACTAAGACAGGACCCTTGAAGTTCAGTTCCGCGATTGATTAATATGACCCACGCGAACATTTATGTACAGTCTGGGGACTTTTTGACTTTATTGTAGGGCATCTAGTCAGCCTTTGTCTCCACCCCATGAGAAACATTACACCTAAACGCCTTTCGCAAGGTATCCATCCCACTGACTGCAGTCATTCATCTTCCAAATTCCCTCTAAGCCCTGAAAGCGTAGTGCGCCGTCGTCGCCTAATGCATCCAGGTACCACCTGACGACCTCCTCCCTCTCTCGTAGAGCCACTTGTTGTTTAGTCCTACGCTGGTGCGCTTTCCGGTAGAGGGGCTCGGCGTTCCCGGATCAGGGAAGAGGGAAGATGCAGTACTTGCTCCCAGGTTTGTAGAAGACCCAAAGGACGATCTCCGGTTGCTATTCAAGCTGGCCGAGAACTTGGATGGGCTGTTATGAAGAGGCGAAGGAGAGTAGGATTGTCCGTTTCCATTGAAAGAGCTTCCAAGAGCTGGGCTGCCTCTGCCGGAAAGCGGGGAACCAGAGAAGCTCCGGTTGCTCGCGGGCGAACCTGCCAGAGAAGGCGTCCGCGAGTAACGTGGCGGGGTACTGTAAACAGCATCAGGTGTAGCTGCTGCAGAACTAGGCGGCAGTCCGAGAAGTTGGCGCTGAGCGGGCGTCAAGGGAATGTCGGAAAGATCGTCGGCCGATCGAAGTAGAGGCAGCATAGCCATGCCAATGTTCACTAGCGGAATGAGCTGGACCAGATAGTATGCCCAACCCAGATATGAGCGCAAGGAGCTACTAAACCTGCTCAGCTAGTTAGCAGAGGTCGCACTCGTGAGGCCAGCGGAAGGCGTACCATTGTGCGGGAACGTATGAACGCGAAAAGATCTGGGACAGCCAGAGACTGAGAAGGAAGCCGACGTTCAGAGCTATTCTTCTAACGTTCTTTTCGGAAAATGTCGTTGCGTTCCGCCGTCTCGTGATCTCGTTCAGGCGTGGATGTCTCCATGTGCCAGGACTGTCGACGATAGGGGTGGGCTTTTGCGGCGTCGACTTGACGGGAGTGCTGACAGCAGCTCGGCTCGCCGACGAAGACATCGTTTCAGCAAATATTGACAAGACTGAGAGGTGAGATCGAGGAATAGAGGTCGTCGTGCGGTGACCACAGTCAGGGTCAAAGCCTGTTGCGCGAGAGTTAGTTCCAGTCATCTGCAGGTCTACACATCCGTCCGTCATGATCAATGCGACTTACTCTTCCCAGTGATTTGGCAAACCTGTTTGATGTTAGTAAAGAGTCTCTTAGACGCTGCGCTGTCGCCGAGCGCTCGCGTGCTTCGATGCGCCGCTTCAAGTCGGGTTGTCGATGGTGATGGATGCGGCAGGAAACATTGGCTACAGCATCTCGCAAAGCAGTGGCAGAAAAACAATACTCCAGCCACACGGACCACAGCAACCGGCAGGGAGTAGTCTGTTGCGAGGTGGATACCTGCGCTCCTGCCTAGTGGGGCATGTGGCTTGCTCTTGCCGTTTCTCAGGAGCAGTTGAGGTCCGTACCGCTCACAGCTCACTTCAGGGTGCAATGGTCCCCTAAGTATCGCAAAGTACAACTTGTCAAAGTGTCTTACACATCCGCTGCGGATCACTCGAGTCCTTTCGCGACCCGGGGCAGCCTTAACGAGACTACCTGAAGATACAGAGAAGTGTAGCCTCGACATCGGAAACACTTGGTTAGACTTTCCGAAGCTTGGGAACGCCCGCGCTGACTACGCAGAAAGGCAGGCCGGAGACGCGCGGTGTGCTAGTAGTCCGGCTGTTGGAGAATCCTGGACGCGGTACGAGTAAGGTACCTCACCCAGCTCGCTTTCGAGAAGCACCTAGTCGCAACAACGGAAGCCGGGGGGGACGTCAGATCCCCGCCGTTGACTGCCAGCACAACCCACCTCAAGGCTCAGCACCAAGAAACCTCCGAGCTCGAGCTCCGCGGCACCGCCTCACCTCATGCTCTTCCCTTTTGTTAACCCTCCGAGCTTTCCATGCGGGCCACGTAAAGCCTTTTGTCGTTTTGCTTCCACCAGCACGCATACTCCTCAACTGACGACGAACCCCGAAGCTCGACCCGTCTCGCATTACTCCCACCATCGCGCCGCCCAAGATGGGCTTCTTTGACAACATCATGCACCAGATGGACGAGGGTGTCTCGGGCTTCTTCGGACAATGGAACGCTTATACCACTGCCCTCGTCACTTTTCTCGTCGCCATCGTTACCTACCGAATCGTCTCTAGCCAGGATCCCGATACCCATCCCATGCTGCTTGCCCGTCAAGCGCAAGGCTCTCCCGTTCGCCAACCAGCGGAATCTCCCGTCTACCGATCCCACTCTGCCCCTCACGGCATGCCCCTGAACAGCGGACTCAACGTCAAGGACCCCGGTGCTTCGAAGTGGGCGAGGGGACGTGATGGAGATCTTCGGGATATCTGGAGAAGAGCGGCGACTGGCGCTTCTGAGGAGGGCAAGCCAGTTGTAGGCAAGGGCCGCTTGTTGACGGTACTGGGCTCCGAGAATGTTATCGAGCATCAACTTGGTGAGTACCCTTCTTTTGCGCCGTGATCAACTTCTCTAAGGCCGCGCAGATGACATCACTCGTCAAATCAATCTCATCGGACAGCACATTCACGAGCAGGGCGGCATCCGAGTAGCCGTTTACCTGCCAAACTCTATCGAGCTTTTGGTGACGCTTTTCGCCTGCAGTTTTTACCCGAACCTCACAGCCATCCTGATCCCATTTGATGTGTCAGACGAGGAACTCGTGACGATGCTCCGCCGTTCTGCCGCCGATACCGTTATAACAGCCCCTGGCGCGTTCCCCTTTGACTCGGTCGTCAAGGCATACCCCGCTCTCCGCCAACTCATCTGGGTTGTAGATGAGGGAAGTTCTCACATGGACTGGAATGAAGTTCCCGAAGGCATGGGCGGCAGTGTCAACGTTGCGACATGGCAAGAGATCCTCCGTGATGCACCAGTCGATGCCGCGAGAGAGGTGCCCCCTGTCGACAAGGAAATTGAACCGAAGGATGTGGTGACTTTCTGGCAATCCAAGCCGGGAACCATGGAAGAGATGGTGCGCTTCACTCAGTCCAACTTGGTTGCCGGTGTTGCCGCTCAGCTCGCTGCGATCCCAACTACCCAACGCCTGAGTCCCTCTGATCTGTTCCTTCCTGCCGACTCTCTTACGAACATCCATACCTTAATCCTCACATTGGCAGCTCTGTTCTCCAACTCATCTGTCGCACTCAACTCAGTGGCTGGAAAGGTCACGGACTTGGCTCTGGCTACCCAGGGAGTTGCTCCTACAGTCTTGGTGGCCGCTCCCGAGACTCTGTTGAAGACCCACCAGGAGGCAACTAACCGCCTGACCTCTGCTTTGGCTAAAGTTGCTCACTGGGCTCAGTCCCGCAGCCTCACAGAGAGTGGTGTGATGCCCGTTGCATCCGCCGCGGCACGTTTCAACAGTGCATCTCGACCAGCTATCGGCAAGACTCCTGGAAAGCTGCGTCTTCTTTATGTCGCGGATAGGGTCGGGGCTGGCTCGCCGCCTTTGTCGTCACGAGAACTTTCCGATCTTCGCATTTTCACCGGCGCTAGAGTCATCTACGCTTTGGCCGCGCCCAAGGTTGCCGGAGCTGTCGCTCAGACTGGTTACTACGATTATAGAGTGCATGAGGATAAGCAGTCGCACTTCGGTCCTCCTCTGACGAGCACTGAGATCCTCTTAAGAGATACAGAACAGCATAAGAATGCCGATCAGGAATATCAGGGAGAGGTGAGTTTGATGGCCTTCCGAATCCCGGCCGCACAACTAACGCTGCAAACTAGATCATTGTTCGAGGCCCTTGTGTTGCAGGCAACGAGGCCACCATCAAGGCTACAGGCAAGATCCGGGATGACAACACGCTGGCATACGTATAGAAATTTGTGTACAAGGTCTCTTTGATATGTAGCTGAGCCCATGGATGTGGGACAGACACAATCCGAATCATATCTTCCCATCTCATCCTTTGCCGAGGGATTCCTCGCATCTTCCACTTAAGCCGTCTTTCATGTGCGCATTTAGGTCTGCCAAGGAATGATCTATTGCCAGTGAATTACTTCTATCTTGCCGCCGATGTGGCCGACGCTAGGTCTCTCGATATCATGCATCGCTCACGTGGCTCGTGGCATATTGCTTTGCCCACTGCCAGTCTGCTTGGGCTCTATCGAGTCTTAATGCTCAGTGGCAGGCATCTACAGACCCAACAAAAGCAGTGACGGCGACGCTTCTGACTACTTGCTAAGATGACGCTTTTACCCTCCTCTGCAACGAGTTGACTTTAATGCTCATCTTCACCCTACGCAATGAAACAAGTTACCATCATGCCAAGAATATAGAAAAAATGCGTAGAAAAGAACATCATACTTACACAGCTACTGTCCTAGCGAGAAGAAAAAGATAGACAGTTAGACGAAAATGGCAAAAGCTCAGCTCCCTATAGGGAGCCTACGAAAGATCCGAGGAGGCTCTTACCAGCCTCAGGTGTAGCGATGCAAGGATTTTTACTAGAAGAAGACGGGACTCGAACCCGGGACCCATGGGTGCGGAGCTATTCGAACTAAGGTACGACATTCTCCGCTACGTCACGGGCCTTGGTGATAGTAATAAGTAAATTTATCTATTATGGAGGGTATCGAGGCGGTGGCCGGCGGTTTGTGCTTGTGAGTGAGTGGACCTGAGGCTCTTGCTCACAGAGTCACGTGAACCCCTTCTCATCTCATCTTCTTTCCAAGGTCGAGTGAAGAACATGCTGCCTCATCAAGGAGATGAATACCAGGGCGAGGATGGACAGTCCGAGCATTGTGTACCAGACGCTGCCAAAGGCCTCTCGGAAGGAGTCAATCACTCCCGACTTCCACCCGGGCGGGAGGTTCTTGAGCTCGTCGAGGTCGTCTCTGATGCGGCCGATGATCTTGGCGGCGTTGGGATAGTCGCCGAAGCGTTCCCAGAGCTTGACTCTCAGCACGTTCTGGTAGACGGCGGAACCGATGGTGATGCCGATGGTACCCCCGAGACTGCGGGCCAAGTCTATGGATTCATTAGTCTATGCGGATGGTTTTGCACATAACCCAGGATGACTTACATGTCGCTGACGTGATGACTGCTTGCTGCGAATGGTCGACGGCAGCAATGCAGCCGAGCAGCGTAATGGTCAACATGGCTCCGTAGCCTCCTCCCACCAGGAAGAAGACGACATAGTTGACCCACGCGGGCGTGTTCTCGTTGAACTGCGTGAGGATGATGATGCCGGTGTTGAAAAGAACCAGGGCGCTGATTCCCGGGATCACGTATTTCCCGGTCCGCTTCATGATGTAGCCGGCGCCGACAGACATGATGGAGACGCCCAGAGGTGATGTCAAGATGCGGAGACCTGCCTGCGTGGCAGATAGCCCGTTGACCTGGAGGTACAGCGGCACGTAAAAGATGGCCATCATCATGACCATGGTGCACAGTAGGTTGGTCAGACAGGCGGCGAGGATAGTGCGGTTCGCGAGCAGGCGGACGGGGATAATGGGCTGTTTGACCCTGCTCTCCCAGACGATGAAGCCGATGAAGGCGACGACGGAGAGGGGTATCGTGGTGAGCGGCAGGGGGTGGACCCAGGGGACTAGGTTTCCACCTGCGTTGAGGCCGAGCAGGAGGAGCACGAGGAAGGAGATGGTCAGGAAGACGCCGAAGAAGTCGATGCGCGCCAGGTAGGACTTATCCGAGGCCTTGGGCGGGACCTTTACGAGGACGGCGACGAGGACGGCGGAGACGAGCACGGGGGGCACCTGGACGAGGAAGGCGAGGCGCCAGCCCATTGCCGTATGGTCGTTGATGAGGCCGCCGAAGACGCCGCCGAGCATGGCGCCGGAGCCGTAGGCGATGTTGCCGATGCCCTGGTAGATGCCCCTCTGCCTCAGGGGGATGAGGTCGGAGCCGAGAAAGGTGGAGATGGACATGAGCCCTCCGCCGCCGATGCCAGCCACGACGCGGCCAAAGATCATGACGGACTCGGTGCGGGCCAGGCCGCAGATGAGGTTGCCGGCCGCGAAGAAGAGGTTGCTGAAGACAAGGCCGGGACCACGGCCAAAGATGTCGGTCAGCCTGCCCGAGATGGGCTGACAGGCGGCATTGGAGATGAGGTAGGCCGTGGCGAGCCAGCTCATGAGACTCAGGGACTTGAACTCGCTGGAGATGGGGCCGGAGAGGGTGGCGATGATTGTGCTGTCGATGGCGCCAAGGAAGACGCCAAAGTAGGAAGTGCCCAGGATGAGGGCCAGGCGGGTGCCGGAGACCGTCTCGGCGACGACGGTGGTCTCGTCGTCGTTGGCGGCAGCGGCGGTCCCATTGCTGGTCGTGTTTGTGGTGCCGTTGAGCAGCGGCGTCGTCTCTGAGCTCTGCTCGGTGGCGGCCAGGCGGCGCGTCTGCTCCTCGTCTGCCGTCATGTTTAATGGTGATGTTCTCTCCCACGATGCTTCGGCTTCCAACCTGAGTTTCCCTTTACTGCCTTTACCGGTGCGGAGTTGAGTCCTTGAAAGTCATTCGTCAACGTCGCTGTCGATATGTCTTGAGTGTGTTAATGACGTTCGACCTATTGGGTCAATGCTCTTTTCGTATTATCGGGATAAGCTTTCCGGCTTGTGTCTTATGTAATCTAAACGCTCCCGGAAACAGAATGTCATTGCTGAAGATTCACAGTGACAAAACAGACAGCAGTTCCCCGGACCCCGAATCTCGGCGTGCGCCCCCGTGGCCCCCCCTGGCAGCTGTGCCCGGCCGTCTGTCCGCAAAAGGCAACTGTGCAGCACGTCTAAGGCGGGCCGCCGGGCACTCTGAGTCTTGAGAGTCAGCACGGAGATAGAGATAGTAGAGATGGAGGAGATGTCAGCCACAGATGCGTACGATAAGATGGGCGCTGACGCTGGAACAAGTCTGCAAAAGAGGAGTGTAGAGGACGCCACATAGTAACCCGCCCCGGCTAATCTTCATTGAGTCTTGAGCAACGGCCCAAAGACCCTTCCACCGAAGAGTTTATTGGGTAAGTAATTCCCGAAGCATTGCGTATGCCTTCCTTATCTTACCCACCAGCGACACAACCTTGCAATCACGTCACTGCCGATGTCGGTGTGCCCTGTCACTCCTCGTGCAGTGCGCCCTTGGGTTCTTTCTTTAACTTGGCTTCACTTCCTCCATCTTCATCTTGGCGCTGGGATGAGGGACCTTTGTGATTCGACTCGACATTGGGGGAAAAGAGAAACCCGAAATTGGAAGAGGCCATTATCAACGCTCATGACGCTCCCTTCAATCAAGGGCCTCGAAAGCATCTCACGACGGGCGGGGTTTGGAAACGGAAAACGACTCTGACGTGCCGGAAAACTCATCTTCAACTCACGGCAGAAAGACACCGATAACCGAGCGAGCACGCCCGGATCGAAAAGGTCCAGCAGCCAAGGTACGAGGTGGATCTCATTATTCTTTCTTTTCTGCGCGAGTGTGCTATGCGCCGCCTATTTGGCCTCGAAAATGCGTATTGGAAAGAAGGAAATGAAATGCATGGTAGAAACGGACCTTGTTCGTTTTGGCGCATGTTGTCCAAGACGATTGTCCTCCCCAAATATGGTTTCCACTGAGGCCGCCGGAAAATGGCCTCAGTTTCCTCTCATCTCCACTCGACCATGTCCGGTGGTGTCTGACCGCAGCCACACTGCCCATCACAGAATCGAATCCAAGGAATGAGGACTCTCACGCCGAACGAGTGTTCGGCGTGAGAAAATGGCCTCAACTCGTTTTGTTTCTCAGCTTCGATGAGGCAGCTTTGAGATGATATTCTTATTAAAGCATACTTGACCAGTGTCTCTCTCACCTCACTTCTCACTCACTCAGCATCACCACCACTCATCCTTTACATCTTACTCTCATTCTCATTCACTCCACACGTCGAAAATGGCGTCCTCCGATATCCTATCTCAGACTCTTCACACCATCACAAGTGTGAAGCTTAGCCAGTTGGATAAGCAGAAGGCTTCATATGAGTCAGGGAAGCGAGCCCTACTAGATGATGCGGCCTATGAGACGGACAGTCGGAAAAGGGCGAAGCTCTTAGTCGACCGGGTCGAGAGGCTCCCTGCCATGGCACCCTTGGACGATGGCTCACTACTATCCATCGACAATCTCAAGCGATTCGTTCAGCAAGCCGAATTTGACCCGTGCGTTTCCGACGACTTCCTCCACGACTATGAGAACAGCGTACGCAACGAACTCGACGTTCAGTCGGCAAAATATCGATACGCCGAACTCTACGGCAAACTCGTCAACGAATGGATCTCCGCCGGGAAGGCTGCTGGCCACGGAGCTGAGTCGGGATTCGTGCCCGTGGGTAGGGAGGAGATGCACCAACAGCGAGCGACGTGGGAGCGCTATGTTTTCCATGCGAAGGAGACGGATAGCCTGGCCATCAAAAGCTACCTCGAGAGCCTCTTCGTATCATCCTCCAAGGACATTCACCGGGCATTTCTGGAACTGAAAGAGAACGTCAAGAAGTTTCAGGACACGTGGGACGACAAGACGCACTTTGACGAGGATTCTTTGATGAACACCATCCGCGGCCTCCTCCGGACGGATACCCTCACGGATCAGAAGAGGACGACGCTCAACGACTTTCTGAACAACAAGGTCGTTCTGTGCGAGATCGCCGATGTGCTGAACATGCGGATGCAAACTCGGCAGAACTGGGCCTGGGACAGTGCGACTGAGGTCGACGTACGACGACAACTCAACGGACGCTACCGATTCTACCCCGACGACGACCTCCTACAGGCCATCTTCATTCACCACATCGGCAAGCTGTGGGCCGTCAAGATACGCGGGTTCCTCGTCGCGTTCCTCGAAAGCGCGGGCGTGGAAAAGGATGCGACGAAGCCCATGAGCAAGGAAGACGTTCGCCGCAGACGATTCTTCCTGAAGACGGGGCCACGCATCGAAAGCCCCGATTCGGTGGAGAAGAAGCTCAAGCAGCACTTCAAGTCGGAGATCCTGCTGGACCAGCTGCCGCAGACCTTGGCAGAGGAGCGAGGCGGCTACGGCTCGGACGGGAAGGAGAAGAAGGGGGACAGCCGCAAGTCGCACGTCGCCGTCGTACAGAACCTCTTGCACCTCATGCAGTCCGAGATCATCATGCAGACGCGGCTCGGGAGCGACGTGACCGTCATCCGGTCCGATCTAAAGTGGTTCGGCCCCAGCGTGCCGCACTCGTCCATCTTCGCCGTGCTCGAATTCTTCGGCGTCGACGACGAGTGGACCGGCCTCTTCAGGCGGATGCTCGAGTGCCCTTTACGCTTCAGCGACGACCCGTCAGACGCGCCGGCCCAGATCCGAAGGAGAGGCACGCCCCTGAGCACGCCCCTGGCGGATTTCATTGCCGAGACTATGCTCTTCTGCATGGACTTTGCCGTCAATCAACGAGCCGATGGTTGCCGCCTCTACCGGCTGCACGACGACATGTGGCTATGGGGCGGTCTCGAAACCTGCACCCGGGCGTGGGAGACGATGACTGAGTTTGTCAACCTCACAGGGCTGGAGATCAACTGGGACAAGACGGGAAGCGTCAGGGTCGCCGCCGCCGCCGCCGCGCCCCCGGTAGCCGGGTCGAACCAACAACAGCAACAGCAACAGCAACAGCAACGGTCCATGCCTCCGGGTACGGGTGCTACGACGACGGCACGGGGTCGTCTGCCATCAGGCGATGTCGTGTGGGGATTCCTCAAGCTCGGTCCGACGTCTGGGCGTTTCCTCCTGGACCAGGACAAGATTGACGTGCACATTGACGAGCTGCGGCTGCAGCTGGAGGCGTGCAGCAGCATCTTTGACTGGATCCAGGCGTGGAACATTTACGGCGCTCGCTTCTTCAAGACCAACTGCGCCCAGCTCGCCAACTGTTACTCCCGGCAGCACGTGGATAGCATGCTAGCGACGTTCCACCGCATTCAGGAGAGGCTGTTTGGCGCTGGCGGGGCCGGGGCGCACCTGAAGCGGCTCATTGGCGATCGATTCGGCGTCGAGGACATCCCTGACGGTTACTTATACTTCCCCGTTTCTCTGGGCGGCCTGGGACTCCAGAACCCTTTTATTCACCTCTATCTGATCCGCGACGACGTCATCGAGGACCCCGACGACATCATGGACGACTTCCTGGCCGAGGAGGAGGCAGAGTACAGGTTCAAAAAGTCGGCCTACGAGGAAGACACTGAGGGGGCCGGCGGCGGCAGCGGGCCTGGCAGCAACCTCGACATCTCCGGGGCCCGACACCACGCGCCGTGGCTTCTCGCGGACGACTACAGAGACCTACGGGACCAGCCGTTCATGAGCTACGAGGAGTTCTCGCGGCACCGGAGGCGCACGTCGCCGGCGCTGAGCCGGGCGCTCGACAGGCTGCGGCACACGCCGGCCACCAAGGCGATTGAGCTCAGGGGCGAGGTCGAGGCCGCGCTTAAGACCACGCCGGCGGGCTGGTACGGACTCAGCGGCTACGAGCAGTGGGTGTGCGGGCTCTACGGCAAGGACATGGTCGCGCGGTTCGGCAGCCTGGTTGTCGTGGACAAGGGGGTTTTACCCACGGGTTTGTTGGACATGTTGAGGCAGAGCCGGTTCAAGTGGCGCGGCTGAAGGGATGAAAGAAGACGAGAATGAAAATGCCGAGGATAACAGGATAGGGGAAGTAGGACAGGGGAAGGGGGTGCGCTCTGTACGATGGATGGGATGGAGAGGCGCGGAAATTGGATATGGAAGAAAATAGCCGCGATGAGGCCTATCCTGGTGTCCGTTTCTAGAACAACGGGCAGAAAAGTCTCTCGGGCAAGTCGCGTGATCATCGGGGATTCGGGCGCGGCAAAAAACATGAAAACACACACATCGGATACCCTGGGAGGGCAGTGAAAGTGTAAGAATAGTTTAAATTGGGTTTTCGGTCAAGTTGGACCGGATATTGGCCTCGTTCATTACTCGTGGAAATAGATGAAATGCGAGAAACTCACCCTGAATCGCTGAATCGCAAAACGGCTATGAATTGGTCCAGAATTGCCACTAAAAGAATTAAAGCTCCCACCCCCGGCCGGCCCCCTCGTCCCTTGCCGGGAAAAAGTCTTGTTCAAAAGAAGGCACAAACCGAGGTAAGTATGATAAAGTAAGTGTATGGATAGGCATAGCACGATGATGGGCCGGGACATGGATATCACAAAACTTTGACATATGGAGCCTCACTTTTCCACTCTCTTACACACCCCTTTGCCAAGCAAAAAGGGTCCTCGGTTCGTATTGCCTTGGCATTTAGTAGTGTGAACGGTCTTCCCCTCCCCCGATCTCGACTTTGCTATGTTTTCTTTGCTATCTCATCTTACACACACCCTTCCTTTTTCCATCTGCCGCTGTCTCACCCCTAGTCTAGCTGCCC